GTTCATGGGAGACTAGCTATCTAATCTTGAAAAAAATATGTTATTTTTCACATCAAGCGTGCAAGAGGTATGAGTGCAGCCTCACAAACACAATCTCCTAAGAGACGTCTAATCCAGATGCCCGGTGGCTCCCCCAGGGGTGTGGGTGCACGTGGAGGGCTACAGCACGCCGCGCTGGGACAGCAACGGCTACGTCACACAGTGCGACCAAAGCGGGACCTTCGAGGCGGACGTGAAGAAGCTCCTGGACGCGGCTCAGGCGGCCGACGTCCTGGTGGTCCTCGTGCTGTGGAACGGAGCCTACCTGACCAACCAGGCGGCCGTCAACCTCATCTGGGACGACGCCAAGCTCGACGCCTACATCAACAACTGCCTCAACGTCAGTCTCTCAGCGGAATGCATGCGTCTGTGACACTTCATAGCACGACGATCAACGCTCATGCATCGTCTTTGCAAGTTCCTTTTCCATTTATTATTCTATTTCTGGCTTTTTGTCCTTATGAAAGTGTATTCTACCCTCCTGTTGCTCAAACTGTTTCCAATCTCCCGCCACAGAGTCTGGTGACGCAGGTCAAGGGCCACCCAGCGCTGGGGGCCTTCGAGGTGGTCAACGAACCCGAGGGATCCATCTTGGTGTGCAGTCTCTGTCGCTGGCACGTTGCTCGTTCATCAATAGTCTGAAACTGTTGCTCGTTCATCAATAGTCTGAAACTGTTGCTCGTTCATCAATAGTCTGAAACTGTTGCTCGTTCACCAATACTGAAACTGTTGCTCGTTCATCAATAGTCTGAAATTGTAATTAGAGAAAGGAGTTCAAGCCCATTACAGACCGCGTAAAGACCGACTGAACTCTGAAGCTTCGTCCGCAGGTCTCGAGCGATTCCGAACCCTGCTACGACACGACCACCATCGGGCAGAGCGGCGCTGGCTGGACCGGCCTCTACATCCCCATGGAACGGTGAGCTGCACCAGGGATCCTGTGTCTTGGAAGCCCATATTTATATCACGATGAGGTGCAACAATCAACGAAAGATTTTTGGGCTATTTATTTCCTAGAATCGTAGTTTTTATCAGAAATCATCTTCAAACAGTTACCGAAAGGATTATTTTAGTTCACGTGACCACACAGGTACCTGAGGTTCATCGGGCGGCAGAACCGGCCATCGACCCTGAGGTTCTGATCACACTTGGATCGTGGGGTAAGAGAGAGAAGGAAGAGGGAGAGAGGAAGGGGAAGTGGGAGGGAGAGGGACGAGAAGAGTGTTTGAGAAAGATGAATAAGCAGTGATGGACTATGAGAGAAAGAATGATTGAGACTTAAATAAACAGTGGAAGACTATGAGAGAGAGAGAGAGAGAGAGATAATGAATGAATGAATGAATGAATAATTGATTTGAGAAGTTTCCTTCCTGACGCCTCGGTTCGCGGTCCCGCCCCCAGGCCAGTTCGCCCAGAGCGACGCCTTCTCCAACACCCACAACCACTACACCGACGAATGCCTGAACAAGGCCGCGGGAGGAAGCAACGCCCATCTGGACTTCTTCCAGATACACGCCTACGACTGGGGGGATCCTGGAGCCCAACGCGCCTTCACGGTCAGTCAGGGAGAAGGGAGGGAAAGAGGGAGTCAGGGAGGAGAGGAAAAGGGGGTCAGGGAGGGAAGGAGTGGGGAGGGAAGGAAGGGAGGCAGGGAGGAAAGAGGGAGTCAGGGAGGGGAGGAGTGAGGCAGGGAGTGAAGGAGCGAGGCAGGGAGGGAAGAGGGGGTCAGGGAGGGAAAGAGGGAGTCAGGGAGGGAAGGAGCAAGTCAGAGGAAGGAGTGAGTAGGAAGAGAGTTGTATAGCTAGTTGGTGAACAAAGACGTCATTGAGATGTTGACATTAAATAAATTCTCGCTTAAGAATACAATTGAAGATGTGTGAACCGGGCGGGAAAGGCAAGGAGAAATTGAAAGAAAATAAATAATCAAAACGAGAAAAAGGAAAAGGAAACTTAGGAAGTCAGAGAGGAGCAGCCTTTAAAAAGGGAGAGAGACTAAAGCCCCGACTAAAGCCCTGTCTCCCCGGGGCCTCCAGGTGGACGCCGATGCCTACGGCCTCGGAAAGCCCGTCGTGTTGGGAGAGTACGCGTCCGTTTGCGGTGCCGGGACTTCGCTGCCCGACCTGTACTCGTATGCCTACGAGCACGGATACAGCGTGAGTTTAATGCTTTGTTTTGACGGCCAAGACTAAAGTGCCTTCCAACAGCTGTTAGAAAGCCTCCTCGCTTGACCCGACAAAGCCCAGCTAAGCCCGGTTTCCGCCCGCAGGGAGGATGGAGCTGGCACTACGTGGCCACCGGCGAGTGTTCGGACACGAGGCAGCAGCAGCAGGAGGCCCTGAAGACCCTGAAGGACCGAAGCGACCACGGCCTCGTCTCCTTCCCCGTCGGCTGAGGCGCCCGCCCTCCACGCCCGCGCCCACGTCTCGAATGTGTAGACCAATAAAGCAGCAGCACTTGAATCAACTTTTATTTCTAAAACAAATAGTCTTCTAATTTTACCCTTTTTTTCTTATTCTTGGGCGCATTTTGTCTCTCAGCCTTTCACTCAGCACTGCCAGGAGCACCAGAATGCCCACCACTTCTCCACTGCATTTTTCCTATATATATGAAACATTAGGGCTCTGGATATCTTGCTACTAATGTCCTGTTTACAGCATTAAAAACATAAAAGCATTTGTTTGGTTCTAGGTTTCTTGGAAAATGCAATAAATCCCCATAGGTAGAAACTCTCCTTCCTTAAACTACCCCCAAACTTGGTGTCTGATGCCCCCATTCTTGCAGGAACCAACCCCCTCCCTTTTCCTTTAGAATATCCTCAAACCCCAGAGAACCAGCTTCCTCACGTCAAGCCTGGACTAAAATCCACATTCCTTTCTCCTGACACTAATATTGCCCAATTCCCAAACTCACAGAGAAAGAAAGCACAGTAGAAAGTTTATTTCTGAAATTGATTCTAAGACTCAAAAAGGTCTTTACATGGCTCCATCCTTTTTCTTTGCTGAAAATGAAATGGTCTCTAAATAATTTTTTTTATTTTGTTCTGGGAACCTTGCATAACTTTGCAATCCACTTACTTTTGATACCAAATACTTTATTAATATTTGGACTAATAATTTTTCATAGTCAACCATAGTCCTGACAGACCAGGAAAGCAATGAAGTTGTGTATTGGTGTGAATATTAATTACAATACATTTTTACCATCAGTGTGACAGGATCAAAATAAAACAAAAGAACTATCTGTTGCCTTTTAATATGTAGCATTCAACATAGTGGTAACAGAAATTATTAAAAAAAAGTTACATTCCTGAATCAATTCCACAAACATTGTTTCATGGTTGAATCAAGTTTTAAATATACATATGTATCTTAAGACTTAAAAATTTTACTGCTGCTGTAAGCTTAGTATGACAAGCATTCTTAATCACCTCCTTAAGAGATTGATCACCAGTGCAGTGCCCTAGTATTGTAACTTCGGGATTCACTTCGCATAATGTTCCGAAGAAAGGCAGGATTCTTTTCTAAATGTATAAACGGAATCAAAAGTATACACATGACTTCTCTCTATATAAATAAATAATAAACTGTATAAATTAGCTTATAAATAAGACAGAACAATGATAGCCTGCCTCTGTGGCACCTGTCATCAAAAAACCCTTAACTATTACAGTAATCAAGTGTGCATAAAACTAATGCTCTACGTATGATGAAGTGAAGGTTATTGAAATGTTGAAGAGAAGATTCATCTGCCTGTGATATCAGCACACATTTTCTCATATTCTTTTCACTTCGAAGTAATACGCTCCACCAACTATCATGCACGATCACTTTCTGAATAAACCTTGTATTAAAAAGTAAAAGGTTTTCATATTCAGGGTCAGCATAATCAAGGACGAAATATGGCACCAACGTGATAAACTGACAAAATACTTCAATGCATTTCTAAGTTTCCACCCGGCTTCTTTCGACACTCCCGAAGCCACTGACGGAAAAGAAGCTGAATTCCTGATGTAGTTTGAATCACAGCAGATGATAATCACATGTACCAAACACATTCCTATCAATAATTTAAAAAAGGATTCACACCTCTTACCTTATAACATAATAGGACACAAAATTAGCTTAAAACAAACATTGTGTGTTATTGAAAGTAAATGCCTCTAATGCATCTTAGTTATTTTTCTCATCACATAATTGAAATTGAAATTAAATGCAATACATACAATACAAGCACTCACTAAGCCCCACAACAAGAACAGAAATACCTGGGGCTTATACACTAAAAAAAAGTAGTTGTAGTATTAATTAACATAAAAAATAATGATAATGACAAAGAATGCTTGATTGTCTACAAATTGTATATTGATTGGGCAATTACACCATACTTTAATGCTTACTTTGCCCATCATTCGATATTGCTTTGAGTAACGTTTGGTTCCAGTCTGATTGCGTGGAAGAGAACCTCACACATCCTGAATGAACAACTCTCAGGAAAAATAAGAAAATAGGAAGAATGAAAGAAAGAAAAAAAAAAGGACTCCACAATAAAATATAAATTCCGTTTCACTGGGTGTTAAGATGACTTGGGAATGGGAAGTGAAAGAAATAGAGAAAAGGAAAAAATGCAAAAAATAATAAACAACTGCATGAAACAATGTCTCAGCCAGTCACCTTGAAGAGCACAACCAAAGGAGTACGCTGATCAATCTACTCTCTACCAGTCATTAAGTCTTTGTAGATGATGGAAATACAGTCACTTAATTACACAGATGCACTATATTTGAACTGAACTCTTTCATTGAGATAAGGTTCTAAGTTACATTCCTGTCAACCATTCCTAAATGCAAATTGAAGATCTAGCCAAGTGGTATCAGTGACTGTATCTCTTTTTCACAAAATAATACTGCAATATTAGAATTATCGGTATTCATTATCATCATGAATGCATATCACCCTATAGAGTAATCTGTGCTTTTATTACAAACCTAAATCATTAAAGAAATACTGGAAACCTATCTTATGACTTATATGCCAGCGTGCTTGCTAAAATCTGTTATAGTGTGGCAGTATGTATCACTATCGGTAAACCTTTACATCATACAAACACTTTCATACAAGTGAAATGGAAAATGTATGTGAGAACTCCCAATCCATAGGAAGCATGTTAGTACAACTGCTTTCGAATCACACGAAAAGAACAAAAAAATACAAAGAACTTAAATGCTCGTTAAGTGACCTCTTAGATTAAAAGCTTCCGACTGATAAGGTTTCCTTTTCCTTGGGCTTCAAAGCAAAGCAGCTTCAAAACTGTTCTTCAGCAGTGCCACCTCTACCACGTGGCAGTAAAATAAAAAATCTCTGGGGGGAGAGGGGAAGATACATTACCTATTGTTTTCTTTATACTTAAGGGGGTGGGGGTGCAATTTCATGGCTAACAATGGATAAGATGAATAATGGATAAAAAGAAGAAGAAAAAAAAAGCTTCCAGTCATGTACATGTGGGGAATCTTTGGTAAGCAAGAAAAGATTATTCATCCAGAAAAAAAGTACAAACTAAGTAGAAAAAATATTAAAAACTCCTGATGAATTAAAACCAGCTTCAGAAAATACAACTCTAAATTTTCTTCAAGTTTACATCCTTTCAGGTGTACAATGACAACCTTTTTTTTCTAAACATAATATGTGGGGAAAGAAAAAAAAGAAAAAATGCTGAATGGTGCAATATTAAGATGCAACTTCGGAAGAGGACGGAAACATGTGAGCTGTTCTTAAATATACTGAACACTAACACACTTCTCAAGCAATCACATTCTCTTCAGGCTAAGAGATCATTATGTAAGGAGGTAAGTGTGAGGAAATACAAGCACAAGCTCTCATTTAAACTAACCACCAGCATTTACACAACCTAAAGCTGAAAAAAAGAACAAAAAGAAGAAAAAAAAGCTAAAAAGAAGATAAAAATGGAAAAAAAAAGCATATAAAAGAAAAAAAGTCTCCCAACTCAAAATACAACTCACAAAAAAAGGTCATTAATAATATCTTTTACAGGAAGACATCGAGGCTGACGTCTTAGAATTCTCCGATAACCTTTCACGATGTTGATGATCCACTGAATGGTTCACAGTGATCAAGACAACGTTCGCGATAAGCTTTGTGCAGCTGACTGTCGCCTTTGAAGACACCTCTTTAGATTATAAAAAAAAATTAGCAAAGGTTCAGAATTTCAAGCTCACGGTAAAAGTAAAACAGATAAGGAAAGAAAGGAAGACATTTGTGCACTAAAAGAAAATGATATATATATCATATAACTGTTATTGTGTCATCATCATGCCAACAGCCTTTTCTTAGGTCAACACATGCACAAAGCACTTGGGCTCACGTACACCTTCGCTTTTTATCAATGACCTTTCTCCTTATCTATGAACTAACACGTAAAGATTAAACTGAACACTATCATCACATATGAAAAAAATACTGTCATTAATAACAGACTGAATTAAATAAATCTTTGCACATTCTTGAACACCATCTACAAAACAGACATAATTATCCATTCTGTTGTAATAAATAGTGATATCTTCTGCATGTCTGAGGTAATCTATCCTTGAATGATTATCTTCTTCACTCTTGTAATCACACATGCAAACATGCACAAATTTGCTTACCAATGATTCCCATATCCTCTCGTAAAAGACAATGTCCTATATATTGTTTCCGTTGATATAATTTAAGAAAATTAGTGCATTACTAACGAGAACACATAATCTCATGTATTGTCCATTTTCCCACTTTATACGTTGAAAAAAGGAAAAAAAATTAAAAAAAAAAAAGAGTAAGGAAACCACATCTTTCACACCGAGCCGAATGACTAGACAATGTTAGTGTGATAATGAACTACATTTCTTCTACAGAAAGGTTCGAGTACTATCGCATTTACCCTTAAAGCTGATTAAACTAATTTCTGAAAGAGCCTTGAAGCTAGCCAAGCATGTCTTCCATCCAATCTCTCTGCTCCGAAGTCTGAAAAGATGTGTAGAAAAAACAAAAAACAAAAAAACAGCATGTAAGAGACAGGTCAGGAAAATTTTTAAAGAGACCTGTGATTGACAAAGACAAGAAAAATCACCTTCAAATATATACCTATAAAAAAAATGACAGCCCCTTGTTGTATTATGAGTATCATGATAAATCTCAGCATAGAATTTCTCAGGTACACAGTGGTGATATGAGGCATCTGTTTTTTAAAATTTGCAATATCGTACAACCTACTCAGGGCCTTGCAGAAAATACAGCTCTTATTCCATAAAACATCTTGAAGAAAAACAGTCCACAATATTACAGATTGTTAACCTCAAAACTACTCTGTGCTGTTCAGAATTAATAAGTCTCTATTAACAAGCCATACTGGATGTAAGACGAGAATAATATCAAATCAGTTATCTTTTCACTTAATCTCAATC